TCAACATTCTTTAAAATATACTTTGTGTTCAACAGAAGAAAGAAACTCATACAGGTTTGGAACAACTTGAAGTAAGTGATGACAATTACAATTTGTAGGTGAACTATCCCTTTAATATAATCATTATTCATTCAACAGGGTAAAGAATGCACAATTTGGTGCGAGAAACTTCTTATAAGCGGAAAAAAAAAGAAGAAAAAAAACTTTTAAAAAAAAAGGACCCAATGTCAAGTTGGAGGAACTGGAGTTATTGAGGGGAACTGACAGAGACTCAGTTGGGGGAAATAGATTTATCATAAATCTAGTGAGAAGTGAAACCACGAGTTAAGACAGCCTCCGCACTTGAGGGGAAAGCAAGAAAGACAAATTAATCTCTTAAAGGAAAGATCTGACAAAGTATGTGTTATGCACAATTTTTCTGCTTTGCATACACTTTTCTGTCATTGTGCAACTGTCGAGGATAAAAAAAAAATCAGATGTCAGATTCACATTAAGTGGAGATAAAACACAAGTGAAACCTAATGCCAATCAGATAGCATCTCACATTGGCAAAGCCCTCAGTATATTTCCATTTATGATGACATCTTTTTTCCCCTTCCAGCCCATGTAAGACACACAATGGATAGCACACTTATGGCCAGTACTGTAAATGAGGAAGGAGATCAGCGCTTGCAAATGAAGGAAGCGCAGCTCCTGTCTTTGTCTTTCTTACTCCTTTGGAAAAAAAATGGATTTCAACAATGAAAAGGGAAACGGCTATGGCCGGGATCCATGGGATTGGATTTCTTCCTCAACTGTTCCCCTCACATCCTCTGCATTATTCACAGATGACGACACTGTCTCTTGGGCATGTCTCTATTAAACCGGTTTGGCGTTAAGGCACCTCCCGCAAATTCCAGCACTGTGACATCTCACAGTTAACATATGCTGATAAGGCTGATGGCACGACAGCCGTAGGGTTTTAAATAGTTTAGGGTCAAAAACTGAGTCAACAACTTGCATATGGCTCAGAGTATACATTAGTGAAGGGAGTCAGCATATGGACACAGGACCCTGTGCAAGTATGTGTGCGCATTATTTTATACAACTAATTGCAAGTGGTTTCCATTTCTCATATCTGCTGGAAAAGCTCATTAAGAAAAGAGTGTGTGATGTGTGAAGAAGTGCATGCAAACCAGCTTACACACCATTAGGTGACTAAAATCACATTAGAACCACACACAATTTGACACAAAAATGACTGGGATTCAGAATGCTAGAGTGAAGATGAGAGAGTGAACAAGAATCAAAAAGAAGAAAATGCGAGTGGTACTTGCCATGTAAATGACTGGGTTGTTGGGAGGTTGCTTACTGGCCCAAGTCAAAAGTCTAGTACATGATTTTTTTCTTTAGTTTTATCATCTGCCAGGTGAAATCCATAAGCCTAATCACTTCGATAACACCACACCTTTCTTCAACAGGCATACAATTTGAGGTATCAATGTTTGTAGCACAAATTCTGTATGACAGTTATACGCCAATGTTTAAAGGTATAGCGGAGGATTTTCTTTTTCCGGGTGGGTAGCCTATACTATTGGTCCACCTAAGTGTCAATCATTCTGGTGATATGTTTACGTAAGGCCGTCGTACGTGCTCGTCCCTATGTAGTTTTCGCTTTCTGCGCATGCGCACTTTCAGGTGTATTATGTGTGATGAGTTACGGTTTTAGCCATTCCTTTGAAAATGGCTGAGGGTCGAAAGAGAAAAAATGTATACGAAGTGTATGATAAGAAGAGAAAGGCCGCAGAATATAGAAACAAGGAGACCAGAGTGATTTTGGGTGAATATTTCCCACGCTGGCGTACGCTAAAAGCACAGGTTGGGCTTCCCACTGATGCCGCAGTCGCGAAGATTGTAAGTTTGTCATGCTATTTGGAGAAATCCATTTAAAATCACTGCTAGTAAAAGTTAAATAGGCGTTCCCTCTCGGGAGCAAATAGAGTGTTGCGCATGTGCATTTTTTAAAAAATTGGAGAGGGCGGGTCTTCTCTAAAATTCGGAAAGATCCTCCGCTATACCTTTAATACTTAGGGTCAGAGGGTTTGTTAACCAAGTATGAGTAATACTACGTGGTGCTTCTTAAGTTTAGATTAACATCACATCTAAAATGCTATGACTGCACCCTCCTTTGTTCCACTGTGTTAACATGTGAAATTTTGGGAAAATATTTGGCAAAGAGATAAACGGGAATGGAGTGAAAAAGACAGAGGGGGACTGAATTCTTCACAGCACATTTAGCTCTTGCTCGCCCTTTCATGTCTTTACTATTATAATTCAGCTGAATAGAAAAACAAAAGAGTAAAGGGATGCCTCTGCTCCCATTAAAAGAGCCCTCGCTTGCATCTCCCTGAATCCATGAAGAATGAATTGGGGGGGGGGGATGTCAGCCTTTGTCATCCCACTAGCTCATCTATGATTCAACACATACCAAGGCAATGAGGACAAGAGAAACACAACATCCTATTTTTAATCCAATAAAAATATTCAGAGTAATAGGGAGTAAAATTGACTGATGCATGCTGGGTAACCAAAGCCACTATTCAAACAACTGATAGTGTAATTGTTACTAATTAATTAATTTAATCTTAATGGAAGAACTAGAGAACATTAGAACTTCAGACATATAGGAGGAAACATCTGAGTCAATCCATGGAAAGAAACTAGTTCCCAAGTGATCTCAAATGGGAGAAAAATAAAAGCTCAGCAAATAAATCAGCTCTGGGGAGAAAATCAGTTTAGATGGCCCATTAACAAAGCTGACGAAATAATCATCTTTCCTCTTCTACATCCAGGAAAGGTCTCTTTTACTGATGTCTAGTAAGACTTCAAATACTTTACAACTACAAAAGCGTCCTGAAAACTAAGGAGAGATAGCAAAAGAGAGAGAGAACGGCGGGCAAACACAAAGCAACCCTCCCTGATGTCCTTGCATTGCTCACCCCCTCTTTTCCTTGCTTGTCTTCATTCGCCCTCCCTTTGTCAAAGCAATCTGGGAGTTTCCAGTGGCCAGACCTCTGCTCCTGCAAGCCCCTCTGACCCCTAAATTACTTAGAGTTACTCTAAAGGCCTTAATCCATCTATAAACACAACACACTGAACATCCCCCGTTTTAGCAAGTGTCCAAACACCTCATAATGCTACTTTGCTTTCACCAACGCACATCAGTATAAATCCCCTCATCCCGGCAGGGTGGACATGATGTCACTGGCACCATCCGCTCTTACATTCCACAGTCTTACACCCCACCACACAGCCATATCACACTTTCATCCGTATAGTTCTTTGACATGTTTATGCAATGGTTTAAATCTATGAGCGCTTAGGAGGAATTACTAAAGTCTGACCGGTGTGTATAACTGTTCAGTTTGTACAGAAGGATCTTCACCAGGCAACTAACAACAATCCATCTTTATCTGTGTGCAGTTATACACAGAGAGGGTCTTGTGATATTCAGAGGAAACACACAAGCCTATATGTATTGAGATCCAACTGAGTTTCAAACTAAAGACCCAGTTTGTTAGATTTCAAGGTTATTAAAAAAGGCAACTCTGGCTTAATGTAACTCAACTCTGGTTTGACACTAAAAAAAAAACACTGACAAGAGAGTAACAGACTAATCAATGCAAATATTGAACAGATTTAAGCCTTTGACCAACATACCGTCTGGTTGAATACACTTAACTTTCTAACCTTATCCCCACTTTTTTTTCTTTTTGTTGCAATTATTCTGCTTATTGTACATATAAAATACAAGAAGTTTTTTTTATCAGTATTCCATATTCCTCTAGTCCCATATTACTGTAGTAATTGTTATATTGGAATTACCCTGTGAATGTGATAGATACCCCTTTTTTCCATTTGAGCCCCTAAGAAACTGCACATCCCTGTATTTTAATAACTTTAGCATACTTGAAGTGCGCATCAAGTCTAGGAAAATACAAGTTTCGGATTGGGACTTGGTATTGGCAGGTACTCAATATTCAATGACTCGGATTGGATCGGGGGCACAAAAAAACATAAAACTTGATCGGGACAAACATCCCTAATTATAACAATTGTTTTTATTGAAGAACATGCAGCTCTTAAAACTTCTAGTATGAATTATTGTTAAATAATATCTATATTGACACTCACGGTTTTGTGAATATATAGTTCTGTTAATATTATATTACGCCTTTAAATATTGTGTGAATATTGAGTGGTTCACTGCGCAAATACTACAGTGCCCCTGGTGGCAGTGCTGAGAATGCAACATGTAGATGCAATACATTATAAATTTGCAGTATGACACATTTTGGAATGCAACAATAAATAACATGAAATCAAGCTAGCATTACATCTACATTCAAGAAATAATGTGAATGCAATCACTTCTAGATTTGCAAGCTTGACTTTATCATGAAAGGAATTCATAATTATGCAACACAAGCATGCTTTGCATACTCAGCATTGCTCCAATGGACTATATGACCTCTAAGGAATAAAAAGTTGTCTTTTTTATTTCAAGTCAACTACTGCAAAGATAGAGTTTGATGAGAACTTTGCTGAAGCAGTTGGTTTTAACATGACAGCATTTTTACAGCTAGCTATCTGATTAACAACAGAACAGACATTTGAGTAATAAGAACACTCATTAAGCACAAGACGACGCATTATATGATACAGTATGTTTTGGGCCTAATCTGCAACTTTACCAAAGATCTTCTTCACCCACATCCTGTAGGGGCACCATAAGGACCATGACCACAAAAGTGCACAAACAAGTTACACCAACACGATTTCCTGTTGTAAGTTTGGCACTCATTTTTTAAATAGATCTTTCACTGCTGTGTTTCACAAAAGCACTTTTAAGCCTTTGGTCAGCCACAAAAGAAAATAAATAAAGTTCACATCAAACAACACGAGCATCTGCAATAATTAATGAAGGCTGAACATGAATACCATGGTAGTTAGTTTCTTACCTGAAGTTCACACCACGCTACCTCCACCGTTGTCTCCGTGTCCAAGCCCTTGTAGACAGTTTTGAATGAGCCACGTCCAATCTCGATATCAAATTTGAGGAAACGGCCATCGGGTGAGGTGCCCACAGCTTTGGTCTCCACTTCTTCTATGTCATCCTGAACCTTTTTCTCAGCCTCCCTCTGCTCAGCTTCAGCACGGGCCTTCGCCACACCTCTCTCTTCCTCCTCACGTTTGTCTGTTACTCCGATCTCCTGCTCCTTGTCGCCCACGTCGCTGGGCACCGTCTCCGCCGTCCCAAGGGCCTCAGCCTGCCTCGCACCCACATCCAGCACAGATGGGCTCTGTACCTCTACAATCCCATCAACCCCAGCGCCTCTTCCATCCTCTGCATGTTCTTCCACTACTATACCCGAAACACCCGATTGTGTGTCAATGGTTACATCAGGGGCCAAACTAAGCACCACAGGCACGACAAACTGCTCGCAGTCTGGATGCGAGGTGCAGGCTTTGCTGGGCAAGTCGAGGGCTGTAGCATTGGAGTCACAGATGACGCTACGCCTAAAAAATCTGTGCTCAGCCGTCTTCAGATCTTTATCCATGGTGTGGCGTCGCTTTCTGACCTCCGTGTCTAGCTTCTCACCCACCAGTGAGTCCGAACCGGAGCCATTCACATTCTTTGGAGGTGGAGGTGCCAAGAAGGTCACCACCTTGTTAGGATTTTCTGACGACATCTCTCCAGGAAAAAAAAAAATCTTAAATGTATAAATAAATTATTATGAAAAAACTTGTAAACCTTGACTTTTGCAAAAATGTCCTCTTCCTGCTTTGACTGTGCACAAAAAGCCTATGGAAAAAAAAAGCTCACGTGAACCACAGAGTTTGCAGGAAGGCCCCCTCCGTGAGGTATTCCTTACTAACAGTTACTCTTACAGTGTAAAGGGCCAGAGCCCAAGAGAGGAGGTGTTCTTTTATAAACGTAAAAGAACAAGACACAGTCACTGAGAGGCAAGCACTGATGGTGACAGACAAAAACTGTCAAATCCACTTCATCCATCCTGCAGTGACCCGGAGACAGCCGTCATTGGGCATAAGGGACCACAAGAGGGAAAAGGGCAAGAGCCTTGATGTTCTTCAGACCTTTAGAGTGCAGGAAACCTGGCTTCGAAACCAAAAACCAGGTCCAGATTTACTGCAAGAGACATACAAAGAATATATTAATTACACACCCAAATTCATTTATTTTTTTACCAATTTTTAAAACATTACAAGCTATTCTCCAACAGAATAAGCATTTTAATATTGTTAAGACTGACACGTAAACCAATGGTTTACTATTATCCTATGTTATAACTTAAGACACTTTTTACTAAATTTTAAGTATAACGTGTGAAGCAGTTACAAGTGCAAACGTAAACTACTTATTCGACCCAGATTATTTTTCTTCTTTCGTACTTGGTGTTTCTCAGAAGCCTTTTACTACAGTTACTCGGCTCACTTCAACGATTCCCCTGGGGTTATTCTCGATACCGAGTCAGACATGTTTTAGTTTCAATCGTACAAGTATGAAAAAATAAAATGCTGTACCTCAAAAAATATCAACAAAACAAAACCATGTGATGGTAGATTAACACACGCGGGGGTCTCGAGACGGGTCGCCCTGGTTACGATGGGTGGCCAGCATAGGTGGCCAGCTGAAATTTGGGGGATTTTTGTCATTCTCCAGCGAAGACAAGCACAAAACTCAAACCAATTCTGGCGTATTTAGCATTTGTGGAGCATGTAAATTATTAAAAGTTGTCAGCGAGAATTTAAGATACGGCTTTTCAAAAGTTGTCATGTAACGGCCACCGTTGGTTCTCTAGGTCTCGAGCTCGCTCTTAAAATAATGCCGCGCGCGTTTAATAGCGTTTATTGAACAGGAAGCGCGTGGAAATACACTGGCACAAATACGACAACATAACAGTCTATAATATACAGACAGTAGGTATTTAATACCGAATACCTGTCAGTTCATAATGCTTATAACCAGGTATATAACATTTCTGCTGCAATGAAAAAATAGGAGGCTGGCCAGCCAGCGATTACCTTTCGTATCGTCATATCCATTCCCCTCTGATGTAGACAAAGCGACAGCTGCAGTTGGCCGAGCGAATAATTTAAGAGCGGCAATAGCCAAATAATTATAATAGAGACAAAAAGAATCCAGGCTATAAAACCGAATGGTCATGAAAATATAAATTCCATAGATTTAGCACAGCTACGCGTTCATCGTACTGTTTGCTCGACAGGCCAAGTTCAACACGGGGCTGTTGAATCCAACGCGATGCAATTACTCTAATGAAATCGGTATCCAGCGTAACGATGTATCCCATGATAAAACATCATGACAAATCACAAACTGAGTCCGGTTCCGGTCGACTGCACGCGGATCCGCTGCAAACCAACGATTTTCTTCCTTTCACTTGAACAATGCAACAACATCCACTGCGGTTTGCGTTCGCTGCTGTCGAGCCGGTTGAATCGCTATCCTTATGCAGCAGTCGACAAATGACAACTGGTAGTCTCCATATACAGTATCAGGGTTTCTGTAGCTGCTGCTCTTGGTTCGGGTGGTGTTATTAGGACTCCAGTCTGTCACGTTGGTTTTAGCTTCGAGGCTGCTGCTGTCTAACTTACCCTCCCACTGAATACTGACAGCAGAGACGCCAGCCGGCCCGGCAGTGTCTTAGAAAGGCCTGAAGAGGTCGCTGTTTCCTCTCTGAGTTTATTTAGAAGTATATGGGAAACATCATTACAATGCAAAATCAGTTGATTCCCTTCCTCACTACAGCAGCAGGTAAAAATGAATGCAATTCCTCATTACATCCTCAAGTACACCCTTGTTTGCCAGGCTGATTCTTATTTTGTCCCAAAATTCTCAATGTCAGGACATCTGATCTGTGTTTTTGGACAGGCGGTGCTCTGTGATGCATGTCAGTTGCACACCCTCTTATCTAAGTGCTTATTAAGTTGGCTTGTGAGAGCCAACTTACTGATGTTGTACTTAAACTTAATTAGTGGTGCTTGCCTATGGCAAAGCAACACTAGTGTTATTGTGCATACTTATTATTCTTATTCTTCTTATTCTTCTTATTCTTCTGGCCACTTTTTGACGCGCTACTCCTCCCGCAGTTTTTGTCACAGACCCATGAATGAGGTGTCAAAACGTGCAGCCTGTTCGGGAATGGTGTGCTATGACTTTTATAAGCGATCGGGGGTACGATGTTCGCCCCAGGGGCGAAAAACCGGCCGAAAAATCCCATAGACTTAACATTGCGTCAAACTTTGACGAGTCGTAGCTCAGAGCTCGGATGTCGCAGAAACGTGTAATTTACCACATTTGAAGAGGCTGACAGGCTCTGTAAGAATATACCACACAATGGGGTAAAAGTTGCACCCCTGGGGTGCAGGAGGGGCCCAAAGTTGCCCCATTGACTTACTATGGTGTAGGACGGCCCATGAAATGGGCCGTCCTACACCATAGAAACCGCTTTTATATTGAACATAACTCTGGATCACAGTGTCGTAGAGACAAAGGGGCGGGCTCATTTTACTCAGACGGCCAATCAGTCTCTCAGGATCATTGTGAAGCTATCTAGCCACGCCCTAGCAACCATTTAGAGCTCCTTAGCAACAAGTTCCATAGACTTCCATTGAAAGAGATCGAAGGGATATCTCTGGACTGAATTGTCATAGAAACATGAGGGTGGTCTCGTTTGACTCGGGGCAGCAAACAGCCAATCATGAATCACCTCAACACTTCCTAGCCACGCCCTAGCAACCATTGTCGAGCACCTTAGCAACCAAAATCCAAAGAGGAATATCGTCCATTCTGAATGTCACAGAGGCATGGGAGTTGGTTTATATCATTCATACTGACAAGCAGCCTTTGGAGTTTCATGATTGGCAGCTGCCAAGCCACTCCCTAGCAACCAAACAGAGTACCCTAGCAACCATTTTGCAAGACCTACATCTCTCTATCAGAACATCGTAGAGAGATGGGGGTTGATTTATATCATTCATACTGACAAGCAGCCTTTGGAGTTTCATCATTGGCAGCTGCCAAGCCACTCCCTAGCAACCAAACAGAGTACCCTAGCAACCATTTTGCAAGACCTATATCTCTGCATCAGAACATCGTATAGAGATGGGGGTTGGGTCTTTTGACTCATGCTGGCACACAGGACTTTCAACATGCTAAACATGCTAGCTGTTAATAGCTACATGCTAATATTGATTAGCTAAGTGCTAAATCATGCCATGAACATTATAAAAACTCTATAGTAACCAAATGTGAACACTACCAACCACCTAGTAACACCATAGCAACCATCCAGAATACCATAGCAACCACCTAAAACACCCTAGCAACCACCCAAAACACCCTAGCAACCGCCTAGCAACACCATAGCAACCACCCAGAATACCCTAGCAACCGCCTAGCAACACCCTAGCAACCACCCAGAACACCCTAGCAACCGCCTAGCAACACCCTGGCAACCACCCAGAATACCCTAGCAACCACCTAGCAACACCCTAGCAACCACCCAGAATACTCTAGCAACTGCCTAGCAACACCCTAGCAACCACCCAGAACACCCTAGCAACCGCCTAGCAACACCCTAGCAACCACCCAGAACACCCTAGCAACTGCCTAGCAACACCCTAGCAACCACCTAGCAACACCCTAGCAACCACCCAGAACACCCTAGCAACCACCCAGAACACCCTAGCAACTGCCTAGCAACACCCTAGCAACCACCCAGAATACCCTAGCAACCGCCTAGCAACACCCTAGCAACCACTCAGAACACCCTAGCAACCGCCTAGCAACACCCTAGCAACCACCCAGAACACCCTAGCAACCGCCTAGCAACACCATAGCAACCAGCCAAAAACCCTAGCAACCGCCTAGCAACGCCCTAGCAACCACCCATAATACCCTAGCAACCACCTAGTAACACCTTAGCAACCATGCTAGCATCATGCTAGCAACATGCTAAACATGCTAGCATCATGCTAACAATATGCTAATCATGCTAGCATCTACCTAAAACATGTTTGCAACATGCTTATTTTTGCTAGCATCATGCTAGCAACATGCTAATCATGCTAGCATGTTGGTAGCATGATGCTAACAACATGCTAATCATGCTAGCATGATGCTTACAACATGCTAATCATGTTAGCATCATGCTAGCAACATGCTAATCATGCTAGCAACATGCTAATCATGCTAGCATCATGCTAGCAACATGCTAATCATGCTAGCAACATGCTATAAACATGCTAATCATGCTAGCATCATGCTAGCAACATGCTAGCAAAATGCTAATCATGCTAACATCATGCTAGCAAACATGCTAATCATGCTAGGAACATGCTAATAATGCTAGCATAATGCTAACAATTTGCTAATCATGCTAGCATGATGTAAGCAACATGCTAATCATGCTAGCATCTTGGTAAAAACTAGCTAACCGCACGCTAGCAACCGAGCGGCGAGTTTTGCCACTGCAAGCACCACTTCACATTTTCTTCTGGAAATGTACATTCTAGTATTATTATTATTCTTCTTACTCAAAATTTACAACTGCTACTCCTCCTAGAGCTTTAACTCCACATACTCCAAACTCGGCACGGACACTCAAACTGTTCTGACTCGGTATGCTATATCTTTTCTAACTGATCGGACTTACGGTTTTCCTAAAAATGACGATCAAAGTCGGAAAAAACTCCCATTGACTTTACATTGCGGAATCTTCAGATTTTCAAACTCCCCAACTGTCAAAAATTCAAATGTAAATCCCTTGAAACCCTAGACTGAATCAAACTGCCATTCTATACACTATATGAGCCAATGAGACTCATTCAAACTAATAAACTCATCTATCTATGACACTTATCCATCTATCTATCTATCTATCTATCTATCTACTTTAAACTAAATTAAACTTCAAACTAAATTAAACTTTAAACTTCAAACTAATTTAAACTTCAAACTTATTTAAACTTTAAACTTCAAACTTATTTAAACTTTAAACTTCAAACTAATTTAAACTTTAAACTCATAAACTCGTACACTTATAAACTCATACACTTATAAACTCATGAATTCATACACTTATGAACTCAAACTCATAAATTAATAAACTCTGAACTCTTACTCATTTAAACTTATAAACTCTAAACTCATAAATTCATACACTTATAAACTCAATGAACTTATAAATGCATTAATTCATACACGTATGAACTCTCATGAATTCATACACTTATTAACTTTTAAACTCATAAATAGTTCACCATAGCAAACACCCAGAACACCCTAGCAACTGCATAGCAACCACCCAGAACACCCTAGAAACCAACTGAAATACCTTAGAACACCCTAGCAACACCATAGCAACCACCCACAATACCTTAGAACACCCAAGCAACCACAAAATATACCTTAGAACACCCTAGCAACCACCCAAAATACCTTAGAACACCCTAGCAACCACCCAAAATGCCTTATAACACCCTAGCAACACCCTAGCAACCACCCAAAATACCTTAGAACACCCTAGCAACCACCCAAAATGTCTTATAACACCCTAGCAACCACCCAAAATACCTTAGAACACCCTAGCAACCACCCAAAATAACTTAGAACACCCTAGCAACCACCCAAAATACCTTAGAACACCCTAGCAACACCATAGCAACCACCCAAAATACCTTAGAACACCCTAGCAACCACCAAAAATACCTTAGAACACCCTAGCAACACCCTAGCAACCACCCGAAATACCTCAGAACATCCTAGCAACACCCTAGCAACCACCCAAAATACCTTAAAACACCATAGCAACACCATAGCAACCACCCAGAACACCCTAGCAACCACCCAGAACACCCTAGCTACCACCAAAAATACATTAGAACACCCTAGCAACCACCCAGAACACCCTAGCAACCACCCAAAATACCTTAGAACACCATAGCAACACCATAGCAACCACCCAGAACACCCTAGCAACCACCCAGAACACCCTAGCAACCACCCAAAATACCTTAGAACACCCTAGCAACACCATAGCAACCACCCAAAATACCTTAGAACACCCTAGCAACACCCTAGCAACCACCAAAACTATAACCTCATACACTTATAAACTCATGAAATCATAAAATCATACACTTATGAACTCAAACTCATAAATTAATAAACTCTGAACTCTTACTCATTTAAACTTATAAACTCTAAACTCATAAATTCATACACTTATAAACTCATGAACTTATAAATTCATTCATTCATACACTTATGAACTCTCATGAATTCATACACTTATTAACTTTTTAACTCATAAATAGTTCACCATAGCAAACACCCAGAACACTCTAGCAACTGCATAGCAACCACCCAGAACACCCTAGAAACCAACTGAAATACCTTAGAACACCCTAGCAACACCATAGCAACCACCAAAAATACCTTAGAACACCCTAGCAACCACATAATATACCTTAGAACACCCTAGCAACCACCCAAAATACCTTAGAACACCCTAGCAACCACCCAAAATGCCTTATAACACCCTAGCAACACCCTAGCAACCACCCAAAATACCTTAGAACACCCTAGCAACCACCCAAAATAACTTAGAACACCCTAG